TCTCGGAGAACCTGACCCACCAGTGCCAGTGAGAGCGACCTCATTCCTTGTCATGGCAACAGACTATGGCGTGTAAAATAAATAACTACCCAGTTGAGGGAGTTTTGCTTTCAGTTTCTTGCTGTCGCCACGACAAATGTCTTTGCCCATGTATTTTTGTGTACCTGTTTAGTGTATCCACAGGATACATTCCCAGCAGAGAAGTCACTTGGCCCAACACGTGGCATTTTAAAATCTGATTCATGGCAAACCAACACACAGCCGTCATTGGCACTGGAGGGCTTCAGCCTCCTTGAGGAAACGGGGTGTCACCAAACCAAGCCAAACCAAGCCAAACCAAACCACAGAGCCAGTCTCCCCAGCTTATTCGAGGAGGCCAGCAGAAGTAACACAAAAGCGTGAAAAGGAGAGTATGAGACAGGAAAGTTATAGGCCAACCTTTCTAATAAACATATACCTAAAACTCCTACAGAGAATATTAGCAAGCAGAGCCCAGTAGTGCAGAAACAAGATAATGCCGCATGGCCCAATGAATTATTTGTGTTATTCACAACATCTGCAAATTATGGGGGGGTGGGGGGGGACATGTGATCAGAGTGATAAAAAATAAACAGTCGATAAAAGAATTAAACATCTATCTCTGATGAAAAATGAAAACTAGAAATAGAAGACATCTTCCTTAACCTCAAAAAGAGCATTTTCCCAATATCTACAGCTAAAGCTATGGTCAGGGTGAATTATCTTTAAAACCAAGAATAAACCAAGATCTGTGCCTATCACCAGGGTACCAGAGCTCCTAGTCAGTGAGGTAGGGTGAGGGAAAAAAAGAGGTTTAGTTTTTGAATGGGAAAAATAAAGCCTGTTCATAATCAGTAGGATTGCTTGTGTAGCCAAACACCGCAAAGTCCTCAGAGCACCCGTTAGAACAGGAAAGGCAGCATGGCAAGGGTGCTGGAGCGACGACGTTCAAACACCGATCACATGTATGCACACTAGCAGCAACGTTGTAAGGATTAATTATGGTCATAAAAAGCACCAGGGACTTAAGCGTAATCTAATGAAAAAGCTCTGCCAAACCTCTATTAACAAAAGCATAAAACTGTATTAGAAGATGTTGATGATCCGAATAAAATGTGGTCATGGATCAGGGCACTGGGTATCATAAGAGTTTCAATGCTCTCCAAGTGGATCTACAGACTTAATACAAGACCAGTAACAACCCCCAATAGAACTTTTCAGAAAACCTGATAAACTGTTTCTGAAATGCATACGGAAGCAGTGGCCCAGACCGCGCTGGGCATTGCCGGGGAAAATCGAGGTGGCACACCGCCACAACCAGACACTCAGGCTGATTTTAAGTGGGCTTGTGGTTCAGAGGATGGACCCCTTAGGACGGAACAGAAAACCCAGAAGTATACCTGGCCCCTGGGGAGATGTGCGTGTTCCATTCAACGCACCGGGAAGCAGACACAGCGCCGCTCACTGGGGGAAGAGAAACGTGAACCCAAACCAAACAGACGGCTATCCCTACCTCACGCCGTACCTGGGAATAAATTCCGGGGGATTTTTAAATGTAACATACAAAACTGTAAAAAGATTAGAAGACAATATAGGATGGTGTGTCTTTAACCTTAGAATAAGAAGGATTTCTGAAACAAGATGCAAAAAGCTCTGACCATAAAAAAAAAGATGGATAAATTTGACTACATTAATATCAATCATTTCTGCTTATCAGAGAAACCACAAGGAGAGAAGACAAGTCACAAACTTGAGTAAGATATTTGCCCCACATCACTGACAAAACACATGAAGATTATATAAAATATAGCCTTGACCGGTGTAGCTCAGTGGATTGAGCATGGGCTGTGAACCAAAGGGTCACCAGTTTGATTCCCAGTCAGGGTACATGCCTGGGTTGTGGGCCTGGGGACCAGGTGAGAGGCAACCACACACTGATGTTTCTCTCCTTCTTTCTCCCTCCCCATCTCTCCAAAATAAATAAAATCTTTAAAAAAAAGATTATATAAAATATATACATATAAAGAACCACAAGTCAATAACAAGAAAACAAAGCATCCAACACAAAAATTGGCCAAAGAACACACAAAGGTATTTTGTAGAAAAAGAAGTTTGAGGTAATAATCACAGGAAACTTGCCCCACTTTCCTCAGGAAAGTGCACATCAGACCCATAACCAAACACCACTTTACTCTCCATCCACTGGCAAAAAAAATCCACAGGGTTGTTAATATTCAAGGCCGGCAAGGAGGTGGAGCGAGGACACCTAGGCAACGCGGGTGGGAGTGCGCACCGGTCCTGCTCCTTAGAGAGAACAGCCCGGTAGAATTTACATGTGGAGCATTTGCATCCTGTGGTCCAGAGGCTCCGGTTCCAGGTTCTGAGGAGAGACACCTCACACAGGTGTGCCAGATGCCTCGTAAAAGGAATGCTCACCGAGGCATCATGCTAGCTGAAATTAAAAAAGAACCCCAGTAAGCCTGGCTGGTGTAGCTCAGTGGATGGAGCTCGGGCTGCGAACCAAAGCGTCGCAGGTTCGATTCCCAGTCAGGGCACATGCCTGGGTTGCAGGCCACGGCCCCCAGCAACTGCACATTGATGTTTCTCTCTCTCTCTTTCTCCATCCCTTCCGTCTCTTTAAATAAATAAATAAAATCTTAAAAAAAAAAAAGAGAATCCAAGTATTCATTGTTAGGAGGCTAGCTAATGAAGTTGTATAATGAAGTTGTAATGAAGTTGAAGTTGTATATTTACGTAATCGACTGGCTACATGATAGTACGAATGAATAATATAGGCAACAACATGAATCTTAGGAATATAAGATCGAGGGGGGAAGTTAGAGAATAATACACGTATTACTACTTTTATAACGTTGAAATCTAAGCAAAACTACATTGGAGATTCATAGATATGTGGAAGAATTATAAAGCCAACCAGAGAAAGTCAGCATTGACTTAGCCTGCATTGGATGATACAATGAGATTGGCTAATATGTGGGAAATCGACACATTTTCATGATTTTGATTGGATCTAAGAATAGGTGTATCTTTAATGACCCTTCTGGGCATAGAGGACATGGGGGGATGGAAGGAAGAGGCCAGGGTGACGTGGGGGGGGGGTCTCTGAACATGGGCGCCAACATGTCTCGCACCCTGAGCACTGCATGCTTCTCCCCACATTTAAGCAAAACATCCCTTTCGCTTAAATCAGAGCTGTTTTTGTGACTGGCTTTGACCAGGAATGCAATGAAGTAAACGTTCCGGAACTCTGATTTCAGGCCTTAAGAGGCCTGGCAGTTAGGGTTTCCCCCTCTCGGAGGTCGGTTGCCATGCCCTTGGGAGTCCAGGCTAGGTTACTGATGGGGGCGGAGAGGGGAGGGGCCCGCTCGAACGACGGATGAGGACGCTCCAGCCCACCCATCTTCCCACTGAATGCAAAGCAGGAGGGAGCTGCTGGCCCGTGAGTGCAGGAACCCGTCATGCCCGGAACCCTCACCCTGCAGAATCAGGAGAAATAATCAACTGCTGTTAGGCCATTACGTTCTGGGGTGGTTTGTTACCTGGCAACAAAGGACGAGATGCGTGCAAGGAATTCGGTGCTGTTGGCAGTGCTGTGCTTCCTGAGCTAGCAGGTGGGTTTTCAGACACACATCTGCCACGGGGCTTCAGGACTCACACACCCGCCGTGGCTTACACGCAGCATTTGGTACACATTCAAGTCCAGAAACCCTTCCTGCAAACATGCACCTCCCCCAGCCTCATTTTGTATTTCCCATGAACATGTTTTTGCAATGATCCCTTTGCCATTTCTGTGAACTGCCTGCTCATATTCTTCCCCTTTATGGGGTTGTTCATTTTTCATGATTTTAAGAACTTTGCATATTACATCCTGTGTTTCAGAAACACCTCCCCCAGTTTGCAGCTCATACATTTTTGACGTTTGGCTGTATACAAATTCTATTTCTCACAGTCCAAGTTACTGTTGGTTGTCATGCTTAGGAAGGTCCTCCCACCTCCAAGATTACCTTTTAAATCCTCTCACGGCTTCATTTCATACTTACCACCTTTGGTCCACCTAGAGTTTTGTTACAAGGGCGTAGGATCCAGGTTAATGTTTATCGAAATGGCTACCCAGTTGTTCCATTAAAGAGTCCACACATCCTCCACTAATCTGCCTTGAATCTTAGTCATCTTGCAGGCTCCCCATCATGTCCCACTGACCTTTTCCTCTGCTACTGTGACCTCTTTAATCATGGAAGTTTGTCTCGCCCAACACCTGGAGGCCATCCACCACGTGCCCTTTCCCGAAAGATCGAATTCTGTTGGCCACTTTGTGACTGTAGTGCATTCAGATTGATGTCTTTGCAAGACTGAGAACAGGTGTGTCTGCACTGAGTCCTCACAGGATTACCGAGCCTGTGACCGGGACCAAAGGTGTAGGCACCTGTCCTCGACCCTGGGGCAGGACCCAGGCCCCACCTGCAGCACCCACTGGGCCGAGGCTATGAGTGGTGCTCCCTCTTCCTCCTGCAGAACGTCACGTGGACCTCCCTCGTACCAGACCTCAGCTCCCACCCACCAACACGGCTCCTCAACGCCGAGAACCTGGAGCACATGACACTGTCCTTGTGCTTAAGGACAAGCAGCAGTGATGTCATCTTCTGTGTATCACGCCCCCCTCCCCCCGGGGCGGTCTGTCGGCACCTAAGAGCCCCACGACCTTGGGCAAGTTGGGTAAGCTCTAGGATCCCTTTCCTTCTCCCTCACCTGTCAACTGTGAGTCTGCCGGCTCCTGAGGGGGCACCCCCAGTCCTAGGCTGAACCAGGGAGCAGGCGCACCTCTGCCGGGGTCGGATGCCAAGGCCTGCTGGCTTCTCCTGTCCGCTCCCCGACCCCCCACAGCTCAAAGAAGCATGGACAGGATGGGGTGCCCCCCCTCCCGGCCCTGCTTCTTGCCCTCACCCACCACTGCCAAGTCAACGTCAGAAGTCAAAGATTTTTATTATTCTACAGACACTTCTGAAAAGAGATCTAATTGAGAAAATATACAAAGCGTTCCAGAGTTGTGCCTCCAGGAGCACCTGGGCCCACTGGAGGCGTCGACGCCCTCCTCCTCCTCTTCAGGGCTCCGGGCTCAGAACGGGTAGCATATCGAATGGTCAGTAAAAACATGCAAAAGTGAGGAGGAAAAGGAAGAAGGGTGCATTCCCCCAAAGCAGAGGAAGTTCAGAACAGAGAGGAGGCAGGGTGTGCAAGTACCAGGCGGCTCTCCCCCCCCCCACACCACCCTCTAAAACAGCTCTCGCCTGGAGGAGGCAAGGAGCCCCGCCTGCTCTGCAGGGGCTCCGCCCATCTCTGGGCGGGGCTGTGCTCAGCCCGACAGGGGGGACTCCGCTTGTGCTCCTGGGGGGCCAGCGCTGGGGGCCCTGGCTCCTCCCTCTTTGGTTCCACTCAGAAAACGATTGTGCTTGATGAACTCATCCCCACCCCCCACGCTCCAGCTCCCTCTGGTGGGCGGAAGGCACCGTTGGGAGCCCTGGGAGACCCCCCCCAGGACGGCCACCTTCCCTTGTGCTCTGGGTGGGTCCATCCCTGGGCACACTTCCCACCCTCAGCCGGGCCTGGGAACGGGCACCCGGGAGGAAGCGTGCCATCCCAAGAAACAGTCTACGGGACTTTCCCGACGGTGCAGACGGTTCCGATCCCCACTCCACACCCCTCCCCCACCCAGTCCCCTCGCCCAGGACACCCATGTGCCCGTCCCCTTAATCCACTCCTTCCCGTGGGCTGCCAGTGCAGCTGTGGGCCGGGCCCCGGAGGAGCCAACGTCAAGACAGCGGTCACAGAAACCACCCTGGGGCGCCCTCTCTGTCCCCCAGGCCCGGATGTCAGCAGCGGCGAGGGCCTCGAGAGGTCTCGGCTCTGGTACAGGCAGGCGGGCAGGGCTGGGCAGGAACGGGAGACGTGTCACATCTATGGAACAGCATCCAAAGTACAAGCTAAGAGGGGCAGGGGGCGGGGCAGAGAGTGGCAGGAAGAGGAAAGAGGAGAGGCAGGGCGGGACCCGGCGGGCAGGCGGGCGGGAGCGGAGGCCTCACGCGGCCCCGCAGATGAGCGTCTCCACCACGAAGGTGTTCTCGAAGTGGCGGATGGCGTTGCAGCGCTTGGCCCCACGCTTGCTGATCCCTGGAGGGGACAGAGAAGTCCCAGTGAGGCCCGTGTCCCGGCCCAGACCTGGTTCGGCTACAAACGCCACCAGCTTCAGAGCCTGCGCGGGACCTCAGAGCCGGGGGTGGAAGGACGCCCGGGAAAACCAACCCAGATTCACCCGGAGGCAGCGCAGCGGAAGGCTGAGAGCTCAGAAGACCGGGCTCTGCCTCCCGTCTGCTGTGTGGCTTCAGAGGTGCTGATTAACTTCTCTGTGCCTCAGTCTCCTCACCTTTAAAAGGGGCAGCAATAACGATGGTGATGATGATAATGTACACTTTTTAAGGACATAAAGAGTATGAAATGGTGCACGGCACGTGGTCAGTGCTCAGTTAACACTGGCTGCCAGTGCCACTGTGATCTGAGCTCTGAGCTCTCTCTGACTGCGGGTCTCCAGCTCCGGGCCAGGCACTGCTGGGGGCGGCTGTGGTCCGGAGACCGGGGCAGGGGCCCCCACTCACGCCTCCGGGTGGCCCGGCGCCGCAGCCGGTAGGTGTCCTTCCCGTTGCACAGGTGGTGGATGAAGGAGCCCAGGGCCTCCTTGTCGCTGACGTGCTCTGTGACCACCATCTCCTCCTGGATGATGTACGTCTGCGGCAGGTAGGTCCCTCTCTGCAAAGTGGGTGGCCCCAGTGCCGGTCGTCAGTGCCTGGGGCTCACCACCCGCGGTCTCCACGAGCTCACTGCCCACTCCCCTGTCACTACCACCCTTCTGCTCACTCGACCTGTGTCCCCCCTGACGCTGAGATGCACACATGCCCCCCCCCCCTGCAGAGGCCCCATAGCTTGGCCCCCTAATGTCCCCAAGCACTTCCTGCTGTGCCAGGTACGGATGCCTGCACTGCCCCGAATCTTGCATCCTGTGCGTGGGGGCCTGGCCTCTCCCTGCACGGCCACTGGGGCGTGGAGAAGATGCGGCCAAGACCCCCGCTCACCTTCACGTTCATGAGGAGCTCCCAGAAGTTGCGGGGAGGCAGCACGATGGTGGTGTTGAGCTCGATGACATAGCACTTGTCCAGGGAGATGTCGTGGTAGGCGGTCAGACCCTGGGAAGGGGGAGGGGTCACGTCAGGCCCTGAGGGTGAGGGTCTGGCCCAGGCGGGCCTGTGAGAGGCCTCTGGCGGAGAAGGTGGGAGCCCCCGCCGGCCAGGGTGACGCACCCGACACCCTGAACACCCCGGCGGCCCTCCCTCTTTCTGCCCCTCTGCTATAGCCTGGGTTCCTAGGGGGTTCCACTGACTAGATGAAAGACACCAACTGCTAAATGCCGTGGGTGTCATAGGGGTCCTTCCTGTGGGGTTACAGAGCTGAACACGGGAACGCCCCCACTGCGCATGTCATCAAAGCCGTGAGGTCTCTCTCTGCAGCCCCGCAGCTAGAAACGCCCAGCCCAGGCCTCTTTGTGGCGCACACCCCCCGATAAAACGCTGACACAGGGGTGCTCCAATAGAAAGGGGCATGGCCCGACCCAGGACAGCTGGCGTCCGCAGCTGTGCGGCGGCGGCAAGAAATACCACGGCCAGGTCACATTCAGTGACGGCCGCTTCCCCGCACAGGCGGGGCAGACGTTGCCGTTGTTTGCACGAAAAATAATATGACAGTTAATGAGCAATAATATAAGGACTGCCTGTGTTTTGCGTTGTCACAACAGTAAGCTGACTTTTGCCCCAGCCTGTACAACAAAAGCAATGCCTTTAAAACCTCGGCCAAGCTAAGCCCTGGCCGTTGACATAACTCTGTGTGCAGTCCAGGATGTACTAGGGACCGCATTCTCCCTTCGCACCTGTTCCTTCTCCTGACTCAGGTGGGAGGGGGGCTGAGGGTCCCGGGACCGCCCTCTTCTGGCCCTGCCCCGCCCTCTCCCCGCCCCCCAGCCCCGCCCCAGCCCCTGGCCGGCCTCACCCGCTGGAAGTCGTGGATGATGTCGGCAGGGTCGCCGCCCCCGAACTGGGGCACGGGCACGTTGATGCGCTCGTAGTTGTCTTCGAGGTAAATCTTCACGTCCTCCTCCAGCTCCATGCGCGTGTGGGCCTGGGAGGACAGGGAGTCCTCGTAGAAGACGCCGCAGTGGAAGAAGTTGTCTCGGGCCAGCTGCGCGAGGCGGGGAGAGAGACGCGGACTGGTCACGCAGACTGGTCACGCGGCGCCCTCAGCACAGCCGCTGCCGCCTGCCCCGCCACCTCGCGCTCCGAGGGCTGGGGGCGCGGGAAGGGTGGGGCTGTGAGGCACATTTCCCGGGCGGAGAAAATGAGAAACGTGGGGAGTCAGAGAGGGGGGGGCTGGCACTGCCATTGCCTGGGGGAACAACCTCTCTGGGCCTCAGTCTCCCCATCTGTAAAACGAGGTGCTCCCTCAGACTTCTTCTGACTTCCAGTCCATGAGTCTGTGCTTGGGAAATGGGGGGCAGGGCCATGGGGGAGAACCCGGAGGGACAGGCACCTGAGAGGGAGCCCCCCAGGTGGTTGGGAGGGTCTTCAGGGGCAAACACAGGAGCTTGGACAGGACAAGCTGGGCCCTGGGGGTGGGGGGCGGCCTCCACTGCCACCACCACAGGGCACTCACCCCTCTTTCCTGCCCCTGCTGTGAGCCCCCCCATGCCTTGGGAGAAAGGTGGGGGGAGGAGCTGAGAGGCAGCCCCTTGTGATCGGAGCTGGTGTCCAGCCTCCCACAGCCCCACCCACCTTCCCTGGGCCCCAGGCCTCGTGAGAAACCTTGACAAATGCCACATCCTCTATCTGAGTGGCTGGTGCAATCGCTCCATCAGTAAGGGAAGGGAGGCGGTTTGACTTGACCGAGGCCACATGAGTGGCCGGGTGGACCAGTAGGCCCACTTGTGCTTCTCAGGGGGCCCCTCCTCCATCCGTGCCCAGGCTGCCGGCCTGAAATGGGCAGGACCCCCCTTTGTCCCCGCGCAAGCTCCCAGGATCACACACGAATCCCACGGGCCCAGGGCCCAGGCCCAGAGGCTGCTGGGAGGTGCCCCGGTCCCTGGGAATCGTGGTGGGTGGGGCGCCCCGGGGTGAGAGTGGGGGCGGGGGGGGGAACAGAGGGGGCCAGAAGCCGGAGTGAGTGGGTCGAGGGAAGGGCTGTGGCCACAGGAGAGTGAAACGCAGGAGCAAGTGGAGAGCAGGCCTCGGGGGAGGGGCGGGCAGGAAGGACAGGAGAAAGAAAGGTCAGCAGGTTCCAGGGGGAAAGTCCCAGGGGACAGAAACTCCTCAGTAATTTCCACTGTGGGAAAACGGGGATGACGACGAGGGAGAAGCCCCATGTGTGAGGGTCGGGCGAGGTCGCCTGGGTCATGAATGACTGGCAATTCTCAGCCTTTTGGTCCCTCCGAGATCCCCCGCTGCACTTACGGTTCTCCTTTTGAGCTACCTTTCATTGAACCACTTTCAGTTCTGAGAACGTGGGGGGGCTCTGCCCCCCTCCTGGGTCTGGGCTGAGCACAAGGTCGCCGTGGCCACGAACAGGGCTCTGGGCCCGGCTTCCTGCCCAGACCGGCCGTGGGAGCGGAGGGCCGGGGGCGTGGCCGTGGCCAGGCCGTCCTCCTTCACAGGAGGTGGGGGTGCGTCTGTCCGCAAAAACCCACCCTCCGCCCGTCTCCTTTTATAACCCAACAACCAAAGGCGAAATGGAATCCCTGAAAGCGTGACCCACGGGCACGAGGTTCAGACTCGGGAGGGATCGCAGGGCTCCGACTTCCGCTGGACCATCGATCGGAGTCTCTGGTGGTCGAGGCCCAGGTGACACTGTGGGAAGGGGCTGCGGGCCACACGGACCCAGATTCTAACCCTCGCTACCCTCCCTGTGGACTGTGCTCCTGGGAGACCTTCCTGACGACCTCAGTGTGTCTGATGACGTGGGCGAGGACCCTCGTCCGGTGTCTGTGGGAGTTAGGGGCGCGTCCCCAGTCCTAAGCTCAAGGAGGCCCCAGGGAGGAGGGAGGTGCAGGTGCTCTGAACTAGCCCAGGCACGCCTCCCACCTGTGGGGGACAGGTAGGTCCAGGGCTTCCTGCTGCCCCCCCTCACAAACCCCCAGCCCCTGGCTCTCGACCGTGCCCACAGCCCTCCCCTGCCAGCGCCCGCACCCGCTGCAAACGCGCCCAGTTCCCTCTCCGCCTCCTGGAACACCCCCCACCCCCCGGCCCGGCCCGGCCTCACCTGGGCGAGGAAGAAGTATCTGTAGATGTAGACGGAGGCGAACACCAGGCCCATGAGCAGCACGACCATGCCCATCGACAGGTAGCACACGCTGCCCACGGAGCCCCCCTTCTTGTGGCGGTGGTAGGGGGGCCGCTCCTCCTGCGGACAGCAGTGCAGGGTCAGCGAGGTGGGGGTCCCGCGCCCCCTGGAACCCTCCAGCCCCTTTTCCGAAGTGGGACCCCATGCTGCTGGCTGGGAGGGAACCTTGGGGTCAGGGAGGGAGGGACGCCTCCGGCTCTCCCCAGCTTCCTCCGCACGCAGAGCCCGAGACCCCCCACGAAACCACATGAAATGACCCGCAGGGGCTCAGCAGGTGCACGTGGAGTTCCCTGAGCCACGAGGCCCCGTTGTGAGAGCAGCTGTGACCACAGCATATTCTTTCAAACACAGAAGGAGGCACAGACGTAGCCTTAGTGACTGAGCCAGGCCTAGCTACCCATAGGAACTGGGGTGCTCTGGGCAGTGGGGAGTCCAGGGGGCCTTTGAAGTGGGGGTGACAAGATCCCCCTGAAGTCGGGAGCCCGCAGGGCGCACTGGAATGGGGGCAGCGGGAGGGAGGGGCCGCTGATGGATGGGGCGGGGCTCCAGGCGGCCCGCGGGGCCTGGGACCTGGCGCCTGTCTCGGTCCCCCCGGGCAGCACTGGGCCCAAGGCCCACGCCTCGCAGAGCACAGCCTCCCAGGGCAGCGACGGCCTCACACAGGCCCTGCTGGCAGCGCAGGGCAGGCTGTCAGAAGCAGAGCCTGCAGGGCGAGGTCCGGAGGTTTCCGGAAGCCAGGGGGCTTGTGCCAGGAGGGAGACGTGGCTGTGGTGGCAGCAGTGGCCACCAGGGAGGCCAGGGCAGGAGCTGCAGGGCCGCGGAGAAAGGCAAGCCAGCCTGACTCCACCCTAGGCCATGGGCGTCTGGGTGGGGGACGAAGGGACATGGGCAGCTTTACTGGGACGGAGAGGCCTGGTGACTGGTCTCTCAACCAGCTGTGTGACCTCGGTCATCTCCCATCTTCACGCCTGTCGCCCTTACCACCCTGTGATGCTGCAGAGCAGCCAGGCACCATCCCACCCCTCCTCCACGGTGTCCAGATACAGCCAGGGTGAGGCAGAGGCGGTGCCAAGGACCCCCGCCCCTCCACCCTCTCGGACCCGGGCCAGTGTGGCCGAGAGGTGGGAGCTGCAGCCCAGAGCCCAGGCCTTCCCTGCACCTCTGCCTCTGCGTGCCCTTTCCTCCCTTCATCCTGTGCAGGTGGCAGGAGGCTGGGGACACAGTTCAGGTCCAAGTTCCCCAGGACAGACCCATCTCTCTTGGCACAGGAGATCCAGTCCGGCAGGGATGGGGCTCACAGCCTGCCGTGCTCCTCGGGTCCCCCCAACCTCGTCCCCTGGCTCAGCACACATTGGGGGTGCGGCTCAGGCCTCACGGGGCGGGGGGGGGGTCTCATCAGAGGGGCTGATGCCTCCCTGCCTGGGGATGGCAGTAAAGGCCTGGAGGGCCCCCCCCCCCACTCCCTGGGCACATCCATCACCAAGACCACGGCCACGGGGTGAGACACAGCACAGAGAGGTGCCCCTACGCGTCCTGCTCCGCACCACCCCAGCTGGTGCTCCAAGGAGCTCCCCGGTCGAAGCCAGAGGTCAAACCCGCTGCAGGCCTGGGGCTGCCCCCCACCCTGGCCCTGCAGCTGGGGTCCTGGGATTAAGACCCGAGAAGCGAGGAGGAAGTCTGTGTTATCCACCCCCCTGGCTGGTATGTCACCGGCACCCTGCTGTTCCCCGCAGGCACCGACCTCAGCCGCAGCACACTTGGCCGCTGCCCACATGGCCCCAAGCGAGGGCTTCCACTTCCCCGTGGGCTCCCACGGGCGGTGCAGGTGGGCGGCTCCAGAGCCAAGCTCCGCCAGCCGCTCACAAGGAACCAGCCACCGCAGGGGCTCCTGCGACTGGGAGCGGGTCCTAAGGAAGGTGGACCCACCCAGGCGGCAGGCAGGCTGGGCCACCGGTACCAGCTGTGAGCCCTGCCCTGCTGGGGCCACAGTCCGTGTGCAGTGGGGCAGTGGGGCCACGGGCCCCACGGGGGCAGCTGCTCCTCCCCTGCTGGGCTGGGTCCCCAGTGCAAAGGGCACACCCAGACCCCCTCCTCACGGGGTTTTGTCCTGAGGGGGATTTGAGGGGGATGGCAGGAGACAAAAGAACCTGAAAGCCCTTGGTAAAGGACAGAGGGCTAGATGAAAACAGCAGATCTTTATCAGCCAAACTCTTCCTTTTTTTCCGGCCACCAACCACCGGTGCAGCTGTGCAGGCTACGTGTGGGGGAAGGGGGTCAGGCTCACGTGCCTCCCCGCAGGAAAACCGGAGAGGCAAGCTTGGGAGAGCTGCCTAAGAAACCAGCAACACAGTCCCTGCCCCGGGCTTCGAGGGCCTGGCCCCCAAAGTACACGGTCAAGGTGAGGCCTGACAGAGCTGCCTTTCTGCTTCTGGCTGGGTCAGGAGTTTCCAAGGGGAGAGGGAGGTGGGGAGAGGTGCTCAGACAGCACAGAGGACAGAGAGGGTGGGGCTTACGTGGCCTCACTGACCGTGAGGGATGGTGGAGGAGGGCACAGCCTCCAGCCAGCGCCCCTGACTCTGCCCTGCGCCCTCACACCTCTCTGTGGGGGTCACTGTGGAGGTTGGGGAATCCCCCCACCTTTCCTAGATGTGTGGTGGCCAAATACCTCCGTTGGCACCCGCCGGGGCACACCCAGGGTTCACGCCCCGCTCCCCACCCCGCCCCACCCTTCTCCAGCCTGCAGGGCCCAAACCCGTGGAAGCATCGCGGCCGAGCGGCGGTTGGAAGAAAAAGCGGAACCAGAGGCCGTCACGAGGCAGAGGAGAAACCACTGACATCCCCGATTCCCAACGAAAAGGGCCCACACCAGGGGTGGAGGGGGGTGGGTGGAGGTGGGGAGGCCGAGTCCTGCCCCAGCCCTGTAACTGCCCCCCAGGCTCCGCACGACACAGGTGAGACCGAGGCTCTGGCTCCAGAGCCCCGGCCTGCTCTCCGCGGGCCCCTCACACTGGGCTCTAGCAGCTGGACAGGGGCCTTGGGGAGTGCAGGCAGCCTGGGCCACGACCTGGGGCCTCGCCCTTGAGAGCCCTGGCTGCCCGGCTCATCCTGCAAGACGGCCCAGGGCCTGCTTCTGGAAGCCCCCAAGCTGCTTCCTCGGTCCTGCTGGAGACCCCAGGAAAACGGAGCCCCCGACACGGGAAGCCATTACCCACAGCCAGGCAGGCATTTGGGGGCTTCTACTTAGAACGTAGGGAAATATTGCATACTGTTTCCATGGCAACTGGGCTTTCCGAGCAAAGTGCCTGGCTGTGTACTCTTGTGGGGCACGTGAGCCAGCCCTGTGGGCCCCCCCCCCCCCGAGAGGGGCCTGGGCCTCTGCCCGCTGGCTTCCCGCAGCCCCACTGCGCTCCTCATTATCTGATTTAGCGAAGCCAGGGCCGCAAGAGTTGGGGAACCCGGCCAAACGGAGCAGAGACTCAGCAGACCCTCGCAGCGCCCCAGCTGCACCCCCTCGGTGCCAATGTCCAAATTAACAGCAAGCGGCTTCAGCTACAGTTGCAGGCTGCAGGAGGAGGGCGTCCGGGACCCAGACTCCGCTCACTGCGGGCCAGGACCCTCGGCGGGCGGGGAGGGGCCTGCCCTCCCCTCCTCGGCCTCTTTCTTTCCTAGATTGCAGATCACAGAGGCAAGGGCACCAGTGTGTGTCGGTGTTTGTGTGTGTGTGTCGGTGTTCGTGTGTGTGAGGGAGAAAAGGCCTGACAGGGCGTGGGGAGAACAGGCAGCCACCCTCAGCCCCAACCCCCGCCCCCACCGGCCCCCGCAGCACAGCACACAGCCCTCTGTTCAGATGGACAGACATCGGCAGGGTGCGTGCCCGTGGGGACTCCCGACTTGGCCAACACTGGAACCCCACTTCGACTTTGCATGAGTGGAACCCCATTTCCTGTCATGTGGCCCAGCAGCACCCAGGTGCAGGCGGGCGAGGAGAAGGGTGGGGTTCCCCGGAGGGCACTCAGCTCTGCTTGGCCGGTCTGGGCGGACTCTCTCGTCCATTCGGCTCCTTCAGGGGGAGGCTCCAGGGACGCGGCTCCTGGGGGAGCTCCTGGGGCAGAGAGAGCTCGGACAGTCCCTGTGATTTCACCATCAACGTTTTTCTTTTTCTTTTTTGTCACTAAGAAAGACTGCTTCTCCGGGCACTGTGCAGACAGCCTTGAATATGCAAGGCCGGGCCGGGAGGAGTGGAAAAGAAAGCAGAAACGCAGTAGCTGACAGAGCCCCTCTGGAAAGGCCCCGGGCGGGCCAGGAATCAGGCAGCCCCAAGTCCCCACACTGTCAGAGGGCCAGCCGAGTGCTGCCTTGTCAAGAAGGTCCTTTCATCCCCGCCGGCCCTCAGGGCCTGTGGGTATTGGAGCGAGGGGCGGGAGGACTCCAAGCCTGGCCCGACCCACCCTTTCTGGCTGGCACAGACCCTCCCCCAACCTCGTGGGAGACCCAGCTCCCCCCTGCCAAGGGCCTGAGGCCAGGGCACACAAGGTGAAATCTGATTCTCAGGTATGCAGGCTGGGGAGGCAGTGACACAGGAGCCATTAATCAAAGGCAGAAGCCAAAGCGAACATTACAGCGCCCGGAGGAGATGACGTAGGGAACAGGCTTCTTTCCCCTCGCAGCCCCCAGGCTGGGTCGGGCCCCCACAGGCCCACTCCTGAGCGTGCATCTACGGGTGGACACAGGCAGACTGTGGGAGAGGGGACGGGGCTGAGAGGTCCGGGGCTGGCCAAGTTCACTGACGTGCACCTCTCTCCAAGAGGCGTCAGAGTTTAATCCCCCTCCTGGGCCCCCACGGCTCCCCCTCACCCGTGAAGGACAACGTGGCCCAAAGGTGCAAAGAGAGTGCGCTTCCCTCCCACCCGCACAGGCTGCTCATTGTGTCGGAGGCAGACCCCACGCGGGGAGAGTGGGCAGCAGCCGGAGGCCCAGCGGGGCCCCCACCCCCAGCCCTTCCCGGGGCACTGAGACACTTCCTCCCAGTAGCACAGGTCTGGGGACAAAAGTCCTCCTTGTGTTTTGGTTTCTGCTCAGAAGGAGCCTGCTTCTCAGGGTGCTGCCGCCGAGGCCTCCCCCAGGTCGGCGTCTCAGCGCCGCGGCCAGAGGGTGGCTCGCTGCGGGGAGGCAACCTCAAACTGATCTGTCCCTCCTGTGGTCCCCTCCTCGGCTCTGAATCTTGCTGCCGAGTCCAGTTCAGGAAGCAGGAAGGGGTCCAGGGTCACCCCCAGCCGGAAGAGACCTCCTAATACGCTTTCCTCTGCATCCCCACCAAAGCGGCACAAACCCCAAACGCCCTGTCCTGATGAAGCAGCTCCCAGGGCCTCCCAATCGGCCTGCCTGTCCCACCGGCCTCTCCTTCGGGGCCCCAGGGCACGGCTGATGCTCTGTCCTTCGCTGCATCTGTGAATGCCAGGCCAGCTGTGCTCACTCCCCGGACACTGGATGTGGGAAGTGTGCCCACTGGCCAGGCGAGGTCCCAAGAGGCTCGCAGGAGTGAACTTCTCCCAAGACCCTGATTCCCGCAGAGCCAAGAGGGAACACCCAAGCCCCTGCGGCGTCCCCTCGGGCCTCAGCAGGTATAAAAGTTCACTAACATGCACAGTTGTGCTTAAAGGTGTAGGCTCTTCATCCTCCTCCTGGGCCCCCCTGAGGGGACCCTGCCCAGCAAGGTCTGGGGAAGAGGTTTGCTGGGCAGGCTGCAGGCCAGTGCAAACAGCTCCAGGAAGGTGGGGGTTTTTCCATCTCACGCTGGGTGCGGAGGAAGAGAGGGTGCTTGATTTGGGAGCCAGAGGCTGCGTGTCAGTTCCTGCCAAGGTGCCGCTGGCACTGCCACCCCGCCCACCCGACGCCATCGGCAGGCTGCTCCTGGAGAATGTGCCGCTCCTGCAAAATTTGGTGGGCCTCCCCATGGAACGGGAGTACATCTTCCTGTTACCGGGCTGGCCCTCCCTCCTGCCTGAACCCTACAGCTCTCTGAGGCAGGGGCCTGTTGTCCAGGCCAGGCAGCTGGGAACAGGAGCAAGAAGGGTGCCTTGGCCCCCACCCGCCCCATCCCTGCACTCTCCAAGACTGAGCAGAGGGGGGAAAGGGGGCTTGAGAAGCGCCCCTGGCAAACTTTTAAAGCTGCAGACCGGCCTTTAAATACGGAGTGCCCCTCCCCCATCCAAGCATCAGATAAACACGGAGCTGCTCTGGTGGGGGCTCACAGCAACCCCTCCCCCGCCCCCGCCCCAGCGCAGGCGGTCGCTGATGCTGTGGTGACCACAGCAGGGCAGGGGAGGTCACCCAGGATGCGACACCAGTGTCTTAGGCCCCTCTCCGGAGCCCCCTCTTGCAGGGCACTGGTGTTCCCCTGCAGGTCCTGTCATACCCGGGGGTGGGGGTTGGGGAGGGCGCGAGGTGTATCTGAGCCATAAACTCAGGAAGGGTCTCGGCACTGAGGAAGAGTCCTCAGAAGCCAGCCTCACGGAGAGGGAGGAAGTGGACAAAGACTTTTCTTCGAAGTCCTGTCTCGATGGCGGCTGGGGGACCTTGGTGCTCCCCAAGACCGTCGTGGGCGACACTGCGCAGACACTAGAAAGCCTGGCTGGCAGCTCTTCCCCCCCATCACCTCCCTGCCCGCGCCACGCGTCCTGTCCCCTCCGGGCCCTTCCCCGGGCAGACTTCACGCCGCTCAGTTTTCCACGGCGGAAATGCCTTCTCTCCCCAGGCGCCTGGCAGCGGGAGGTGGGGGGAGGGCGCGGGGGGGGGCGGGGTGCACCGAGGCCGGCCAGCACAAAGCGCGCCCAGGAAGCAGGAGGACACCCGCGCACGGGGGGAGCCTCCCCGCGGTGTAGGGGGCAGCCTGAGCGAGAGCCAGGACAGGAAGAGGGAGGGGACACGGAGCGAGTGAAATCCGGGCACCCAGCCTCAAACCCCCCAACCTGGAACCTTGGAACCCCGAACCCCGGACGTGTGGCCGGGAGGGTCGTGGTTTATTTCCACTTCATCTTTCACCACTTTCTGATCCTCCAGTCCAGGTACAGAGCAGCAGCGCATGCTCCGCCCCAGGCAGCCCCCCGTTTGGGGTGAAATCAATAGTCCTTCTCCCAACGTTGGCACCAGCCTCCCCAACCCCGTTTCCGGCCCTTCCCCGCCCATCACCACCCACCGCCCCACTTTGGAGAAACTACGTTCAACCTTCCTCCCCTCCCCCACCTGGGGACTCGACTCTCGGGCCCTCCCCCTTGATTGGAACCAGACGCAAACCGCCCCCCCCCCCCACCAATGTTCCTCGAACTTCTTCGGCCCAGCCCCCTCCCATTACTTGGGGGTTAGGCTCCTAGAGCCCCTATACTTTTGGAAAAGCCTTGAGCGCTTCCTCGCTTAAGGGCCAGCGACTCTGACCCCCCACCTCCCACACATTGGACTTTGGGGTTCGGCTGCCGCTTTAGGACCCAAGCCCCCTCTCCAGTTTGGAATGGATGACCGTGACCGACTCCCCTCCCGGCTCCGCAGCCCCGGTGCGTCTCGGCAGTCCCCGGAGCCAACGAGGCGTGCTTGGTCCCCCCGCCGGAGTCCCCGGCCCCTCTCACCCGAGCCGGCGTCAGCAGGATCTCAGCAGCCGGGCCGGTCGCCGGGGCCGCGGCCGAGGCCGAGGCCGAAGCCTTGTCGGCCTTGTCGCCCTTTACGCCGGCCACGGCGGGCTGGAAGCTGATCTTCACCATGGCTGCTCCGGGCCGCGGGTCCGCCCTGCAGGCTATGCCAGTGCAGCCTCAGCTGGTGCAGCCTCTCGGTGCAGCCGCGCTCCGCTCTCTGCAGGCACCGGAAGTTTGGATCCCGCTCGCGTCCCTTTCTCTAACCCCACCTCCAGCCCCCACGCCACCGCCCCCAACAGGGGGGTGCCTTGGCGCCCGCTGCGCCTGCGCCCCCTTCCCGCCCGCTGGGTGAGCAGTGACCCCTACTGGGCATGGTGCTGCAACCTGGGGAGGATTACGGTTCACTCATTCACTCGTTCACCCACTTCATCATCCATCATCCATCCATCCATTCATCCATCCATCATCCATCCATCCATCCATCCATCCATCCATGGGCTCAGAGCTCTTCTAAGCTTTATCCCTTTCAGCTCCCTCTCCAAGACCAGAGTGCCCAGAACACACAGTCTGTTAAAACTGTGTTTGCTAGGCAAACGCGGGTTCGAGACAAGTTCCCAGGCTGACTCGCCGCCCCACGCCACTTCACACCCTCCTCTTGGGACACTCAGAGCCTCCACTGTTCCCGCTCCCCGCTCCCTGCTCCCGGTCCCGGGCCCTGGGAGGAGGCTTCAAGGCCAGGCAACTGCTTGCCTGCATCCTGCATCTTGCGTTCATCCACACCTCCAGTCCTTTTCCCTTCATCCTTCGTCTCTGCAGAACCCTGCCGAGGGTCCCTGGGATGCACGCAGAGGATGCTGGGAGTAGAGGAATGAGAGCAGCCTGCAAAGTGTGGTGGGAAGAGCCACAGGGCAGCTGTCCTTAGGCTTGCTTTCCAGCTGAGACTCTGCTCCTGCAAAGCATCAGGGGTATTGGGTTTTCTGAGTGACCCTGTGTGCCAAGCATGTGGCAGAAAGCCCAAGACCCAGCAACCAAGGGCCGGATTGCATTTATCCCTCCATCTGCCAAATGCTCTCCTGTGCATTCTCTCCTCTCATTTTCATCCCAGCCCCTGGGACCTCCCGGTGCGCTGTGCTGGTGCTAGAAACAAGGACTAAACCCAGGTCACGCAGCCAGCAGGGGGCAGATCGCCGATGGGCAAAGCAGGGCCTTCTGCCTGAAGCACCTGTATTCCTGAGGTTGGCACACGGACCTGCCTTCTCCGGGAGGCTTTCCCTGGACGCCCTGGCCTGGGTTAAGCCCCCTACCCGGTGCACCCTCGGCACCGTGTGCGCCTTCCGTGTGAGCCTTTCCTTAGCCTTGGCCTTGGGCCCCGCACCCGCCAAGTGCCAGGCCCACGTCCTGCTGCAGAGATGCCTGAACTTCCTGGTCTCACGACCTCCAAGAGCTTTCATTTGGGGGGTATGTCTAGCAACACTGACTAAGTAGAAATAAAACTCAGAAAAACTTAAAACACAAAAGAACACCTCATTCATCAGCTGTCAAAGGAATGCCACTGTATGTCGTGTGGCTTCTAGAAAATTCCACTAACAAGAGAAAAAGACTGAAAAAGGAAGTCAGATCTTAGTGTTATTGCAAACATAGGTCTGACTTCGCAGACTTCTGAGACGGGCCTTGAGGGCTCCTGGGGTTTCCGGCCCACACGGACCTCCTGCCCTGGCCAATGCCCGAGGATCCTCAGCCCATGGGTTCTAGGACGCACAGTTTTTCATGTCTTTTAAAAAAGATTTTATTTATTTATTTTTAGAGAGGGAAGGGAGGGAGCAAGAGAGAGAGAGAGAAACATCAATGTGCGGTTGCTGGGGGTCATGGCCTGCAACCCAGGCATGTGCCCTGACTGGGAATTGAACCTGCGACATTTTGGTTCGCAGCCCGAGCTCAATCCACAGAGCTACGCCAGCCAGGGCTCAGTTTTTCATATCTTAACATCTCTGCGATCAAGAGTTTTTATGGTTAAAATTAGGAGTGATTTTCCCCCTTACACCTAAAGCAACCGTGTGTCTTATGATACACAGCCTTAGAGCTGGGGAAATGCACTATCACCAGTCAATAGCCCACGGGGCTCCTGGAGGCAGCGCCAGGCTAACACCACACACTCAGTTTTGCGGGTTCAGGTGAGAAGAACAGCAGAGTGAACTTGGGGGCCGGGGGGAGCAGCCAAGGCCCCATGGAAGATGCCAGATCTAGGCGGGAGCTGGAGAGATGGGGTGTGGATGGGGGACAGGGACAGGGACGTGGGAGGCCTTCTGGGTGGGGGAGGAGCGAGCCGGGCTGGGTGCCCTTGTCCGGCATTTCGGCCACAGCCAGTCTGTGTCCTCCGTCCTTTTGCCCAAGGGATGAGCGCCTCCTGCTCATCTCCCTGGTCCCAGGGCCCGCTCAGGTGCTGCTGGAGAAGGGCCCCCTCCTCTTCCGGGCAGCCCAGGTGAATGGTGGCCGTTGGAGCTAAGCAGCGAGTGAGTGTGGCTTTGTTTTCAAAGGGAGGACCCTGACCGGCAGCACCGCCAGCACCTGGGGCCTCATGAGGCAGACAGACGACCTTATTCGTGAGCTCGGGGAAGGCTCTGTGTTTTGGGTTTTTTTTTTTTAAGATTTTCACTTTTCTTTCTTTTTTAAAAAAAGATTTTATTTATTTATTTTTAGAGAAGGAAGGGAGGGAGAAAGAGAGAGAGACAGAGAAATATCAATGTGCAATTGCTGGGGGTCATGGCCTGCAACCCAGGCATGTGCCCTGACTGGGAATCGAACCTGTGACACTTTGGTTCGCAGCCCGCGCTCAATCCACTGAGCTACGCCAGCCAGGGCTGGCTCTGTGTTTTGACAAGGCCTCGGGGTTCTGCTGCGCACTCAAGTTTGAGGACAACTGCTCTCTCAGCGCCATCCACGCCCCCCCGCCTTCCTGTCCTCTCTTGCCCGCCCGCTCCTCCGCAGCCGAGCTCCCCTCGTTCTTCACAGAGAATCTGGGAGCCATCCTGCGAGAGCCCCCTCGTGCCGGAGGCAGAGCTACCCCCACCGGCAGCTGCCCTTGTGGCCAAGGTGGTCCCTCCTGGCCCCTCAGTTTGCAGGGGGCGTCTTCGGTCTTTGCTCTCCTCTCAGACCCTTCCTACCTTCTTGGTGAGGCTTCCACCCCTCCCATCATCTCAGACACCTTAGCGCCTGGGTCATCCCCTGCCCCCAACCCAGCACGGCCCCCTGCTCCTGTACCAGGCCTCCCTTCCTTCCCATCAGCTGTAAAACGTGCTTGCATTAACCTTGGAAGAAAACAAAACAAAGCCCTGGCTTGCATAGCTCAGTGGATTGAGCACGGGCTGCAAACCAAGTGTCGCAGGTTCGATTCCCAGTCAAGGTACATGCCTGGGTTGCAGGCCATGGCCCCCAGCAATCGCACATTGATGTTTCTCTCTCTTTCTCTCTCTCTCTCTCTTTCTCCCTCCCTTCCCTCTCTAAAAATAAATAAATAAAGTCTAAAAAAAATTTTTTTAAATATTAAGTTATTAAAAAATAAAGGGACTTTGTGATCTTTAAAAAAAAAAAGAAAACAAAATACTTCCTTTGACCCCTTGTCCACGGCACTTGTCACCCACCCGATTTTTCTCATTTTCTTCTTGGCCGAACTTCTAGAAAATTCAGTCTCTATTTTCTCATTCCTACCCATATTCATCCTAGCTGGATCTGGCTTCTGTCCTCACACTGCCACCTGGTTCTTAACCCTCATCTTCCTTGGGGTGCTTTTGGGCTGCTGGGCCACCCCCTCTCTCCTGTGACTCCTCCCCCTCCCCATCATGGAAGCTGAGGAGTGGGATGGGCCCCAGTGGGAAGGTCTCCTGAATCCACCCCGCCCCCGCAACCATTCGTTTTAAAGCCCAAGCCCCAGATGCGAACTTTTCCATGTGTTCACCTCTCTCTCCAGATTGCACAGCTGAGCGCTGTGCGTAGAGGATGTCCGTCTGTTACCACGCACAGCACCTGTGGTTTGGGACTTGCAGGTGTAACTGAGCCTTGGGGGGTCAGGGGGGGACTTGCTGGAAGCGCCAGGACCTCAGACCAGGGTGGAGCCACCACCCTCAGAGCCCTATCAGCGCCCCGGAACTCAGCTCACCTCGTCCCTCCCAGTCTGCACCCTTTGACCGGCCTCTCCCGTTTCCTCGGCTCACCAGCCCGAGGCCGCCACCACCACCCACCCCACTCTCTGTTTCTATGAGTTCCACCACTGGGGATCCCCCCTAGAAACGGGGTGATGTGGTATCTGTCTTTCGTTGTCCGGTTGCTTTCACTTAGGGGGATGTCCTCCAGGTTCGTCCATGTTGTCACCCATGGCAGGGTGTTGTCCTTTTTCTCGACTAAGTAAGTGCCCCACTGTGCGCACACACTCATCTCTGTATCCAACCCCCTGTCAGCGGGCACGGGCTGCTCCCACGGGGTGGCCGCTGAGGACAACGCTGCAAGGATCGTGGGACTGTACCCGTCTTTTCGAGACACGGCTTCACTGGCTTTGCACGTGGTGTGCCCAGGAGTGGGACTGCTGGGACCCGTGGGGGAACCTTCTTCAAATGTTTGGGGAACTCCCAGGCTGTGTTCCCTAGTGGCTGCACCTGAAAACTACAATGAAGAAATGGAAGCGACAGTTCCTCTGCAAGATCAGGAGAAAGAGGCGCATCTCTGCAAAATCTAATAAATAGGAGAGAAAATATTAATAGGAGAAAGGAGATGTAAATATATATAAGGTGGATATTACAAATGATAATGTATTATATACAGTCACCTCTAATAAATATGAATATTCCAAAGTGGATGATTTTATGGGAAAGTATAAACGGCCAAAACGGACTCAAGAAGAAATAGAAAATCATAATGCCCTATAATCAAGGAAATTACTTAAAAGAGTTCTCAAGCAATTACCTCAGACAATGGCTCTGAACGGCCGACCACTTAACTGGGTGGTTCTTTCAAACTAAAGGGACAGCTCATCCTATTGACGCTTCAGTTAACTTCAGGCGTAGACTAGACACCCCAACACAAAAATCTGACAAGTGACAGAAACATAATAATGTTGATTATGAATAGAGACACAAGAATTCGAGGGTACATTAGCGGAACAGTGAAGTGCCGGCAGGCAGAACTTCCAAGAATAAAGACAGATTTCAGGCTTGAAAATCCATTGGGGGAGAAATCGCTTGGCAAAATAATGCTTAAA